GTCTTGTGATATTTTTTAGTGAGTTTCAAAAATATCTATTTTCAAAATTCATTTTTTATTAATAATTTAATTAATAGGGAAATTTACATACATGCCCACACAATTCTTATGTGTTGACATATCTAATACCCAAGCATTGATATTTATAATAATTAAACTTATAAATTGGGACCCCAAAATCATAAATTTATCAAAAGAAGAGGGAAAGAAGTGGAAGAGGGTTTGCAAATCAATACATAATCATTATGTAGGAGCTAGCAAGCATGTTTTTTGGCTTTTTAAAAAAGAATAATTATAATACAACTTCATATCAACTTGTGTCCCAATTTGAAGAAACAATTAAACAAACCAATACAACCCAAGTTTGGCTTGCAATCCAATAGAAGTGAACAGCATTGTTTTGCTTGATCAATCAATATGTTAACTAAACAAACAAAAAAATGTACCAATTGCTGTACCAATTACAAAAGAATGATAATAAAAGGATCAATCTAAATCAAATGTACCAATTGCAAAGAAGGGGTCAAAAGAATGATAATAAAAGGATCAATCTAAATCAACAAGACTTCCTCAAAACATATACAAGACTTACTCAAAACATATGCAAATATTCTATATTACAAATTCAGCCCAGAAATTCATTGCCTGTGGTTACCAACAGCTGATTCCACATCATGAAACATTGGGCTCGAGTCCCGCGAAGCGATATTATTCTGCCTTTCTGAAGCAATATTGAGGGTCTCAATCTCCACAGGCCTTATGCCAAGGCCATTAGTAGCAGCAGAAGGTGCACTGCCGTTCGTCATCTCGGCGAGCACCCGGAAATATGCATGAGGCGCCCAACCTGCCAGGAGGAAGTTGATCACCCATAAAAATTCCAAAATTTGATCGTAATTGTCTATAATTGCAAGTTATACCATGCTATTATAAAAAAAATACTTCAAGGTACTAAAGTATAATGACAATTTCACATTATAGTTGTGGTAATTATGGAATAATAATCATGCTCTAAGTATATCTCACAGTCTGAAGGAATGTTGTCGATCAAATGAATAGTTTTGAATATCTTCATAAGGTATTCACATACATACCACCCAATTCTTATGTAAAATTACATATCTAATACCTAAACTTTACTTTTTACATTTATACCATCCAAATCTTTCAAATCAAATAAAAAATACCACTATTTTGACTTTTAGAAAGTGAAATACACCTTTTCATGCATAAGATGACATATGTGTAAAAATTGAAATCTTGGTGTTAGATATAGAATACATAAGAATTGAGTGGTATGTATGTAAATTTTCCTATCTTCATTTATCAAAGCTCATCGCCTACATACTTTTTTGAGAAGTAATTTTGGTTTATGTAACAAAAATGCTTTGAGAATCCCAAAGTTGTGCTGCATCTTCTCTAACGTTATGAGAATATGGACTGACTTGCGGAGTAGTAGCTCAGTGAGTGAATGTGAGAAAACAAAAATGTTATAATACACAAAGCCAATTGTGTATATGGCACCAACATTCCTGAATAAAATGAAGCATATATTTATACCAATATCCACTAGAATTAGCTCCCAATTTTCTAAACTAAGGTTCAAATCATAATTTAGATTCTTTACTCAAAACTAAATAACAATTATAACTAAGAGTGCGTTTATTTCGGTTGTAACTGTAGAAAAGCTAAAGCTCAAAAGTTGTTGTTGAAAATCTGTTGTTCATAAACTAGTGTTTCAGAAGCAGTTGGTATGTTTGAAAAAAAATGTTCAAAAGTGTTGTCAGTTGACTAATGACTGTAGTACCCATTTGTTCGAAAAATCTTTCGACACATTTCAACATGATAATTCAGTAAATGGACAAAAATGTATTATGGTTTTGAGAGGGCATCACGGTAAAATCACAGAATAATATTCTCCACAAAAATTTATCATACGACGATAATCAAGGCTCATGAGAATATCATTAAGAATCTAATAATGCAGATTCCGCGTTACATAAAGACAATAAAAGCATTGAAGCAGATGAAACAAACAAGTTTATTTTGTAACCGCGGGATGCAAGCTAGCAGCTGTATTCGGGCTACTATTCAATCGCGAAACGGCATTCCGTCAGGAGAGATGGAAGCGGACGAGCCAAACGCTTTAAAACCGCGTTTTGGTTCAATCTTTGGTTCAAAAAGCCAAAACAAACAGGACCTAAGTTACTCCGACTAACTTTGCTATTCTTCCAAAGGTGAAGAATGAAGTTTAAGCCATCAACAATACGTCTAACTTATGGCAATAAAAATTGAAGTTTAGGTGCTAGATACATAAATACATAAGAATTGTATGGTATGTGTGTAAATTTCCCAACATTAAAACATACCATTTGCATGATAAGGTGGAGGGAAGAATTGTAAATAGCAAACTGAAGCAACCACCAATCCTGAGAAACAATCAGAAAAAAAATCATGGCGATGAACTGCAACGAGTAAGGAAATCAACAGAAAAATCAATTGAATAAAAAATAAAGGCATAAAAAAACATAGTAAAAACCTAAAATTCCCCCTGCAAAAACGTCTTGCCAATGATGCCAATAGTCATCTACTCGAGAAATTGCAATAAGCGATGCACAGAGAAGAGGAACCAACACAATGCAAATTTTGGCAACATGGCCCCTCCGATTGAAAACTTGAATTTTACCAGCAAGGTACCATGCAAGAAAGCCCAAGCCAGCAAAAGACCCTGCATTTTTGAGAATATCATAACAAGTTATTATTGCAGAAATACCTTCGTAAATTCGCTTCTAAATATCTAAAAAAATAGTCAAAGAACCATGCCACAAATCGAATAATAATTCACAAAAGCTTTGAGGAAGCCATTTTATAAGATTTCTCACAGTTGATGCATTATCTAAACACTTCCATCGCATAATTCACATCAAAAAGAGAAAAAAACTCACAAGTTGAAATACAATTAGGCAATTTTGGAAGCATTGAAGCAAAAAATATCAAGCCATATGAAAACTTTACAAATCATGCATCAGTTATTTACCCATTTTTAGTTTGTTGCACTGAATGACAATTTCTCCAGTGCGGCAATATTGTTTACCATTACATTATTATTATAATGAATATTTTAAATATTAAATAAACAAATTCAACCACTAAGTGGGCACAAATATTTTGTACTCACATGAAGAATGCCCACTAGGAAAACTCTTGTGCCCCTCCTTTATAACACTATTGTCCCCATGACATATAACACTAGTGGTGAAGTCATCATATCGCTGCATAAAAAAAATTTCAGCGCCTTGGTTAGCTGCCACATTCCGAATGAGAAAAAGAAAGAGACATTTACATAAATACACCCAATTCTTATATATTTACATATGTAACCCATAAACTTTAATTTTTACATCTATACCACCTAAATCCTTTATATCACATCAAAAATACCAATGTTTTAACTTTTACACTTTTTCATGAATAAGTAAGATGGCATATATGTAAAAATTGAATTTTAGGTGTTAGATAGGTAAATACATAAGAATTGAGTGGTATGCATGTAAATCTTCCTAAAAGAAATTGTTGCTAGTGGAACAATTCAATAAAAGAGCTCAAAACTGTGATAATAAGGCACCCACATCATGACCATCAGGAAAACAACGCCAAAAAAAATCTGGCCGTGGTCGTCCAACGGCATCCTTGATTGCATCAGTTAGGACGCCAGTTATAAGCACAGAAAACAGTAGGCCTGCTAGGATGCAACATTTCGTGTTAAACTCACTACAACGATAAACTCGCTGAAATTTTTTGAAAGACAAATGAGAAAATAAGCAATTTTGTTACCCAATATTGCATTGTGCAGATCATAGACACTCTTCCTTTTGAAGTATATAGCAAGGAAAATAAAAGCCGGCAAAACAACTCCAATCAACTGTCATATAAAAAAAAAACTCATGGTGTTATATGTCGAGGATCCAGCAAGTGCAAAAACAACTCATTAAAATGATTATAAGGGGACATTTGGAATTACTTCTGTTTTTTACATTTTATTTTTTGTTTTTATTTTACTTCATTTACATTTTAATTTCCAATAAACACGTTTGACATATTTTATTAAGATATGATCGCTTTTAAAAACACTTGAACATCTAAAAGTCATTCTGAATGTTTTAAAAAATATGTTAACTTGTTGTCAGAAACACAAAAAGAAAAACATGCAAGAAAAACATGCCAAACAAACATATTTTTTTAAATTAAAATAAAAATATTAAACAAAATTGATCCCAAATAAGCCTTTAGTTAATTAGAGTATAAGATAGGTTTTAAATGTACCGGGACAGCCCAAAATGGTACTGTGTTGCTCTTCATCGGATATCTCAAATCCTCCATCATATCCTTTCCCACAAAACGATGGAATGGTTCTATAATATTCAATACGACATCAATAACTCCAAGTAGTAATAGTATGATCCAGTCATGCAAGTGAAATCTTGCTACTGTTGTTCCATGGGATCTTATAGTGTGAGTCTCAAGATGAATATCTGGCATTGTCAGCTAAATAATGAGAAGAAACAAAATATCAGAAGCATAACAAAAAATTACATAGAGTTCGTGAAGAAGGTTTCATAAAGGCAATAAAAAGTTGTTGGGAAAAGGGCTAAAAAGCCAAATATGAGGATGGCCACTTAATTTACAAATTCATCTTGTACAAAAAGCACAATAAATCATTTACTTTCACTACATCTTAGTTGGTCATGTAAGTATGCATGATAATTTATCAATGAGTCTCATTTCAGTGTCAACACTTGATGCATAGAATCAGAGATTAAGTGGTTTTGTTGATGCCAGTAATATTTTAGTGTTATCATTAATTGGGATATCATCAGGTCCAATGGTCGAAAATCAGAAGGATTTAATGATATCCCAATTGAAGTGTGTAAATATTTAGGAGATTTGAGAATTTTGTAATTTACCAAACTATTTAATATCATTTTAAAAACTAAAAAGATGTCTGAGGAGTGGAGGAAGAGTTTTTGGTCTCCATTTTGTAAGAATAAAGAAGATCCACAAGAGTGTGTAAATTATAGAGGAATTAAGTTAATGTATCGTACTTTAAAATTATGGGAGAGAATAATTGAAAATAGGTTAAGATGCGATATAAAGATTTCTCATAATCAGTTTGCATTTTGTCTGACATGACTACTATGGAAGCTATAAGACGCGATATAAAGATTTCTCATAATCAGTTTGGATTTTTGTCCGACATGACTACTATGGAAGCTATACATTTATTGAGAGGCTCAATGGAGAAGTACAAAGAGAATAATGAGGATCCACATATATTTGTATTGATTTAGAAAAAACTTACGATAAGGTTCTAAGAGAAGTCCTTTGGAGAGTTCTAGAGAATAAATTAAATATATTGATATGACTTATATTTGAGTCATTAAAGATATATATACTAGAGCCGTTACTTGTGTTCGAAAGGGAGGATTGACCAAATATATATATTTTTTTTTATTTCAATTGCATTACATCAGGAATCGGCTTTAAGCCCATATATTTTTGCTTTAGTTATGGATGTTTTTACTGGACATTTACAAGAGAAGGTACTTAGGTGATGCTTTTCGTTGATGATATCCTTCTTATAGATAAAACTAGAAAAAAAGTTCAATTATGAAGATCTACATTAAAATCTAAAGGCCTTCGTTTAAGTAGATTTAAAAATGTTTCTAGTTTTAAATCTTGAGTATAATTTCAGTAGTAGTAGCTCCAATGACAGAGTTGTAATTTTGGGTGATCAAATCATTAAAAGTATGAACATTTAGATATCTCGGGTCTACTGTTCCAAATGATGGTGATTGTCGGTCAACTTTTTTTTCGATATAGATAGAT